TCCTGAATTGTTCATTCTTGCCTAAGGTAAAAGGTTTTGAATTATTTATTACAACTTTTTCCTAGGAAAACTGATCATCCTCCTGGCTGTTCTGTATAATTGCTGGTGAAGTCATGAGACTGAACATATGGAAAATCTATCAAGATTTTATTTGACTACATTGAATATCTGCTTTGCTTATTTATTAATTCCATTGCTAAACATAAAATATAAACTCCTAAAACCATTAATCTGTCGATTTATTTATTGTATTTATATTCCATTTTTTTTCTGAAAGCAGGAATATATGGGTCACCTCATTTTATTCCCCAAATGGCAGCCCTGTTTAAAAAAAATGTCCTGAGGATGACTGAGCTCATGAGTTCCATATTTTTAATATGTTATTAAATTTCAAGAAAAATTAAAATACAAAATAACTACAAAAAAGTGGGGGGATTCAAAAGGTGAAAAGATGAAAAGGTGAAAAAAGAAAAAAGAAAAAAAGGAAGGAGAAAAGTGAGGAACTTACTTTTCCAACTTACTTAATATAGATACAAATAGTTAATCAAACAATCTTTTACTCTAAGTCAAACATAATATAACCAATATCTAACTCTGAATTTGGCAACATATACAATATTTCACAGTCTTAAACAAATCCAATAATCAGTCATTAATTCCAAATTAGCCATCATTAAAAAAACAAGATTGTAAAAATAAACTCTAGTTTAAAAATAAGCCTAAACAAAATAATAAAATAACAATATTGTTCAATTTCAACATCTTCATCAATCCATTTTTCCAAATTCACTTTTTGTTACTCATTTTTGCATTTACTTCCTCTCTGTACATTATATTTCCTCACTAATATAATCGTAACAAGAAAAAGGAAAAAGTCGCATATTTCCTCCATTCTATTGATCCATTATAACAAAAAAAAAAATCCCACCTCAAAGACATATGCATCTTTACATTTTTGTTTATAAAAGTACATAAAAATAAAAATAAATAATACATTTCACCACAAAATTCATTCCTTAAACCTACATAATTATCAATAATCAAAATTAATATTATACCCCAATCTTACAAAATTAACCTGACTTAAAGAAGATCTGCCAGAAAAGGTGGGGAAGAATACAAATATAAGAAATTCTGAGATAATGAAATAGATGAAGGATGGACTGAATTTTCCTGCCAAGAGAAATGCTGTGCTGCCAAGAAGAATTATTCAACAATGGATGTTGCAGAGATATTTACAATAGAGACTTATGAACTTTGGAAATGAGATGCAACTGCTGGCAAAGTTCCCAGTTAAAAACCTAAAGAAACGTTTCATTACTAAGAACCAAATGAGGGTATTTGATCCTGGACTGATCAAACATAATGGTTGGGGTGCTTTGTGATAAACTGTACAGACTTTCTATAACTAAATTACAATAACAGACTGTTAACAGACTGCTTTGAATTTTAGCTTCTCTGTTGTTTAATCTGTTAACTATTTTTCACTTTCATATTTGTAATGTATGACAGGTCAACTGAGTTGCAAATAGTTGTAGAAGCTCAAATTTGGCATCTGTTTTGCAAGGGGGGGAAGCTATTATTGTAATAGATTTCTCAGTGTTCAACTAGGGCGATAATATGGGTTTTTGTTTTTTTAATTCACACATTTTTAAACATTTTTGTTTAATTTTGCCTTTGTTTAATTTTCTTATTTTGGATTTCAATCTTTTGAATAAAATAAAAATTGCAAGAAAAAGAAACTAAGTAGATCTTTGAACAAGATACAGTTCCTCTTTAATCTGATGAAATACAGTCCTTATTATGGTATATGTCTAGTGAAATAAAATGAAATAATAAAGATAATAAAACCAATCTGTAGGTCAAAAGGGCATGAGTGATTGTCAGCAGAGTTCAGTGGTCCAGAAAGGGACATAACTGACATATAACCCAAAGTTATGCAGAGACCTTAACAAGTCCAAGTTGTCTCCAGATTGCACACTGTTTATTTAAGGATTATTTAAGTCAAGGGTCTCCAACCTTGGCAACTTTACAACTTGTGGACTTCAACTCCAGAATTCCTCAGCCAGCTGTTCTTTTGCAGCTAGGCTGGCTGAGGAATTCTGGGACTTGGGGTCCACCAGTCATAAAGTTGCCAAGGTTGGAGACCCCTGACTTAAGTTACTGGGTAGGGCTGTACTCACACAGACTTTTTGTTGTACAGCAAGAGGATATAATAGCTATGTTAAAAAGTAAACAGAATGACTCTGGGCATTCCTTTCAATGATAAGTTAAGTAGTAACAACTTGAACTGAGCCTAATGACTATGGTGCTTCACTTAACAAATGTGGAAAGAAAGGTTGTAAAATGGGGCAAAACTCACTTAACACATTTCTCATTTAGCAACATAAATTTTGGGCTCAATTGTGTCCCAGGGCCAGGATCACATCATCATTTGCAATCTGCCTTCCAACAAGCAAGTCAATGAGAGAAGCTGGGTTCACTTGACGACTACATGATTCACTTAACGACTGCACTAATTCGTTTAATTGTGGCAAAAAAAATCATAAAACCAGGCATGACTCACTGAACCACAAGCTTGCTTAACAATGGAAATGTTGGTCCTAATTATGGTCGTAAGTGGAGGATTCTTTGCAGCAAACAATTAAAACTTATTTAACAGCATTTATATCACAAATATTAGAGATATAAATTGTCTAATGAAATTTACCAACAAAATTATCCGTAATTTGGACACATTTTTGAATAAAAGGCCACCAATTTGAGCCTTTTGAGACCCTTTTTGTTTCACCTATCCAACTGAAAACAACTTCTCTGTCTTGCCAATCTTTGAGCTTTCTGCTAGGGTCAGTTGGCCTACACTTTCAGTACTTCTTTGCTACCATCCAAATATCTGTAGACTACCAGTTTGGATCATCGCTTTTAACATACAAAGAATTTGTTCCTGTACTTCCTCTGTAGAAGAAATCCTTTCCTGTTCTCCTTCCATTGTAATATATTAAACTCAAGAGAAAGAAACTGACAGTCAGAAAGTCCACCAAATGGGGAGCTGAGCTGAATTTTGCAGATGTTGTTTCAAGGTTATTTTGTATCTTATCTATTTTTCAAAGCTGGCAACAAGTCTCTTAGAAAATAGCAAGTTAGGTCTTAGAGTTAGTTGGATCTTTTTAGGGGTTTTTTTTCCCCGCTCTATTTTAAGGAGGAAAAAACTCCAAATCTTCAATAGTAATTAGAATAAAAATCAAGGAAGAAATATATATATAGAGAGCAGAAAGTTGCAAATCTTATAATCCACCAATTTTAGGAAATAGGATTCCAATTAAGATCTCAGTATTTTTCCAACGTTTTAAAACTCCCAAGTGGTTGATAGCTGCTGTTTCTGGAGGGAGGGCTAGAATCCCCCTTCCCTCACCACAAGGGGGAAAGTACTTTAGCAGCTTATGGAGGTAATTAAGTAGTTAGGATGTAAGAGAGGCAAACCTCACCCAGTCCTGTCCACGCTGCTTTGAAGTTGCCAGATGGTAGTGTGACTTCGGCTGCTAGATGTAGATTGGCAGCAAACTCACCTGACCTGAACCCCATAGAGAATCTATGGGGCATTGCCAAGAGAAAGATGAGAGACATGAGACCGAACAATGCAGAAGAGCTGAAGGCCGCTATTGAAGCATCCTGGTCTTCCATAACACCTCAGCAGTGCCACAGGCTGATAGCTTCCATGCCATGCCGCATTGAGGCAGTAATTGCTGCAAAAGG